TTTTTTTTTTTTTTTTTTTTTGTCGTCTTTTTGAGTTCTTTGTGTGGATGGAGGATCTTTGCATTTAGGAATCACGACTCTCCATAATAGTATAATATTGTCCACTTTGAGCATAAGCTCTCGTGGCTTTGCTTTGGGCTTCCCAAAAGGCCTCGTGCCAATGAAGATAGTATTCCTCGCTTATAAATTCATGATCTTCCACTAAATTAACTAACGTGAGACTCACTTCCAATAATCCTCAGCAATTTGTATCATTTCATCCTTCTAGGCTCTTTGCATGAACTCTGTTATTTTAATTGATTTCCTTCTTTCTTTATTTAGATTGCTTTGGACATGTAGGTTTGTTATTGTTATGAGTTGTGAATGAATTGAATAAATACATCTAGTAATTATTTTGTTTTTAGTTTTATACGTGTCACGAAAATAAGAATTCTAGAGCGGGAGAAACTTTTAGAGCAATTTAAAAAGAGAAACTGTGTGGTTTTAGAAAATGATAAGAACGGATTTTCAAATGTTTTTAGAAGTGACAAAAGAGGTAACCATGTATATTAGGGCTCAAAGGAGGCTCAAAGGAAGCACATCAAATGTTTTTAGAAGTGACAAAAGAGGTAACCATGTATATTAGGGCTCAAAGGAGGCTCAAAGGAAGCACATAAGTCATCGTCATCTTATTTGGAGTGTTTTTTTTCGAGATTAAATTATTAATATTTATGGAAACTTCAGCAGATTATGACAGAGAAAAAAAATCACAAGCTACCTCGTTCTTGCTCCTGTTTTTTTCATACTGATCCATAGTTGATGTTGGCTAGAAGCAGCTTCCGTTTTTTTGCCGTGGAGCACCTCTTCAAACTAAAGAATTGTTATAATCAATGATATCAAATATCGTACATATAACATGAATTATTAATGTCTCAAATGTATATTGATCATAAAGTAATGAAATATGATATTATTTTTTTCGGTTGAATATTTAAATTATATTTAATACTTTCTCATGAAATTTATAAATAAAATAATAAAACAATATATTATTATAATGTTTACATAATAAAGTTTAAAATGTCAATATTGATGAAAATATGGAGATCTCAATTTTGTAAAAATATTGAAATCTCAATTTTATGAAAATATCGATAATACATATTTTAAATTTTGGTTGAATCATTAAATATTTTTAAAAAAATCTAAATGTAATAAATTTAAAAGTGCATTCACTAATTTGTAATTTAATTAAAAAAAAAAGAAAATGAAAAAAAAAAATCACTAAACTATGTGCAAAAATAATTACTTTTCTTAAATTAAATAAGCCAAAAAGCGGAAACTCACAGCAGAGGAGTGAGATGGTACACGTGGATTTATCATAATCCAATTCCAAGATCCACGTGGCAATTTTTCAATCCTTTATCCTTTTTCGTCATCCTTTCCTCTTCCATCGATAAACACTGCACAGAAACCAAGAAGATTCAACAATGGTGCTGCGGCTGCCCACACACCTTGCGACACCTGGCAACCACTGCCGCCGCCACTGCAATGCCTTCTCTTCCCGCCGCGCGATTGCGGCTTCCGACGCTCTTGTCTCTTGGCTTCCTTCACTCGCCTCTCCTTGCGCTTCATCTTCCTCCAGTAAGTGTTCTGTTTCTTCATCTCCTTCTTACTGCATGACCGGAGAGGATTTGTTATTCAGATTGCTTTTTCTGCGTGTTTTGCGATGGTATTGTGTCAGGGAGATCTTGTTTTCTACCGGTTGTCAAATGTACGGCTCAGCAAACTGGACCTGTGAATCTGGCGCCGGGGACGCCGGTGAGGCCGACTAGCATACTGGTGGTTGGTGCCACTGGAACCCTTGGTAGACAGATCGTGAGGCGCGCGTTGGATGAAGGCTACGAAGTTCGGTGTCTTGTGAGGCCTCGACCGGCTCCTGCTGATTTTCTTCGCGACTGGGGCGCCATAGTCGTCAATGTGCGTTGCATTCTCGATATATGTTTATATTTCTCAATTCTATTAAACGCCTTGCATCGATGATATTTATCGCGAAATAGATGCTTAATCGTGTTGATGATTTTGTGTTTAGAACTGAGGCTAGAACATTTTCGTATGTATGGCAGGCAGATTTAAGTAAACCAGAAACGATTCCTGCAACGCTGGTCGGCATTCATACTATCATAGACTGTGCTACAGGACGGCCGGAAGAGCCCATTAAAACGGTGATTTTCATATTGAGCTTTTGGATCTTTTTATATTACTTCTTGTTCCAACTTGCCATTTTCTGAATGTGCGATTGTTCATTGAACTTCATGAACGTTGTTGCCTTCCCTACATTTGATGTCTAAATTGTGTCACAACGCATTAGTATAGACGAGGCTTTGCAAGCCATCGAAACAAAATTGGGCGATCAATTGTTTTGCTGAATTGATCTCCATGTTTTTTCCTCCTTTTTCTCGTAGCTCTCTGTTTCATTACAATTATTATTGCAGTACTTGTTATACTAAATAGCTTGCCATCAGTGTCTTGATTTGAGATGATTTGGAGCAGCCTCCTTCATGGACCATTTCTAACAATTCCCCCATCTTGGCTTCCATGAAATCATAATATAGCTTATTATCATTTAACAGTCACATTGAGAATCTGATGTTAATTTAGGCAATGATGAAATTTGAAATTTATGATTATTGCATGCATAATTTCATACGTCAAATGATTAACCAAACACTAACTTTGGCATTTTGAGATTTGATGTTTAGAACAAGAGTCCCTTCTAGAGCTTTTAGTGTTTCATTTCTTACCGGAGTTGTCTTCTATTTAGGTAGATTGGGAAGGAAAAGTTGCTCTGATACAATGTGCAAAGGCTATGGGAATCCAGAAATATATTTTCTTCTCCATCCACAATTGTGACAAGCATCCTGAAGTTCCACTTATGGAGATCAAGTATTGCACTGAGAAGTTTCTCAAGGACGCAGGCCTAAATCACATCATCATTCGACTCTGTGGTTTCATGCAAGTAATAGTTACCTTAATTGTTTTCTCCTTTATAATTTATTGTTGTTGATTAGCTTTGAATTCTTTTGTCAGATTTATCCCACCCTCTGGGTGCAACCTTTTCCATATCAGAATCATTCCTATAGTCTGTTCATGAAAACTTACAAAATAAATGAAAAGAAGTCAACTAATAAATTGAAATGAATTATTTTGGAAGTATAATACTTTTTAAGCTATCTATTATTCAACACGGTTCACTTTTTCATATGCATGAACAGATGGATAGTTTATAGCCTCGGTCTTTATCCCTTAGTTGACGTTCTAATTTGAGTTTTGGGTTTTCTCAGTTTTTATTTTCATATATCTTTCATTTTATCCTCTAGTGTGAATACTAAAAATAAATTCTTGTTTGTTCAGGGTCTCATTGGGCAGTATGCTGTACCTATATTAGAGGAGAAATCTGTTTGGGGAACAGATGCTCCAACAAGAATTGCCTACATGGACACCCAGGTTTGTTTAAGCATATTGCGTTTGATTGTTTCCAATGTAGTCCTAATAAATTAAGATTTCTAATATCTGATGTGTATTTTTCGTAATTAGGATATAGCCAGGTTGACATTTATTGCATTGCGTAATGAGAATATAAATGGGAAACTTCTTACCTTTGCTGGCCCTCGTGCATGGACAACTCAAGAGGTAATCAATCATATCTTGGTTTGTTTAAGATAGACTATTGCTTTAAGCTCCTAATCAAACCTACCCAAAATAGGAATTTTAGTTTTATTTATCAGCCTGCTCAAAATTGAAATGTGCTTTCTGTACCTGTATGACCCCTTTTTACGACCCTTTTCTTGGCCTTCAACGGTGAAATCAAGCAAAAGCTTAAATTTTTTTTTCTTCTAGTAGAATGGATGAGTATGCATTTTTAGCTTTCTTTTTCTTCAATTAGAACTTGTTGCAATCAACACAATTTCTTTCCAACATCTGATGTAGTCTGTGAAATCAACACCAACATTTTGGTTGAACATTTGTTGCTCTATTAACACTACATTCATAAGCGAGACTTTGTGTAACATTGTCCACATGGAAAAAAGAATTCTCTTTTTTTTCTTAAGTTACATTTTGTTTCCAGGTGATAACATTATGTGAGAGGCTTGCTGGACAAGATGCAAATGTTACCACAGTCCCAGTTTCAGTGTTGAGATTCACTCGTCAACTGACAAGATTTTTTGAGTGGACAAATGATGTTGCTGATAGGCTAGCATTTTCTGAGGTAATTAGCCTTTATATTTTTTCTAAAGTGCATCTATTGAAGGCTGGTTTTTTCTCCCCCTCTCCTCTGAAACACATGACAATCTTATCGTTGATATTTGATAAGCTACAACAGGAATTGGAAGGACATCGTTTTCATCCATTCTTGTTAAAAAAATTTAGCTTTTTCCTGCACGCAGTTTCTTTCGGATATGAACAAAATTCCATGTGTGTTGAGACGTCATTTGCTTGTTATCGTTGACATCCACAAGGCAGTTTTGTCGTTGATAATTGGTGTATTGTTTCTAATGAGTTATGTACCTAGTCCGTTTGGTAAAAAGATCATGGAACTGGGGCGCCTTCCAAAAGCCCCCTTAGCTTGTAGGAGGATTTCTTGTTTATCTCCTATGTTCAGATATGATATTAATGAAATAGTTCTTTTATTGAAAAAAGAAAAGAACAGAAAATAATAATCTGCTGGTGCCTAAATAATTTAACTGATTGGAACGATCATAACATTATTAATCTAACTTCTAAAGCTTACGATGTTGCTTGGAATACATAGGTCCTAGGGTAGTATTAATAAGAAGGGAAAGGGAAGAAATGTTTTATTATTGAAGAAGAACAAATGATGAGTGAGTGCCCGTGTGTCAAGAAGTGGTGGTCAGACACTTCTATTTTCATAACAAAACTGCCTACTTTGATTAACTACAAGTTGTTCTTTTTATTAATCTCTTGTTGGTGATATGTTCATTTAAAGAAGCTAACATCTTTTTCCTGGACATTTGTAGGTTCTTACAAGCGACACTGTTTTTTCTGTTCCAATGACAGAGACATACGATCTCCTCGGTGTAGATGCAAAAGACATAATAACTTTAGAGAAATATCTGCAAGATTACTTCACAAACATTTTGAAGAAACTGAAGGATCTCAAAGCACAATCAAAGCAATCTGACTTTTTTATATGAAGTCAGACCGATTTGTAATGTAAATGAAGATTTGTATGTGTTTTAAATCTTGATACATCGTAACTTCTTGTGCAAGGTATGCCAGTCATTTGTTCCTTATATCTCTCCCTAACCCGTTGGCGGTTAGGAACCACGACTCTCCACAATGGTATGTATTGTCCACTTTGAGCATAAACTCTCATAGTTTTGCTTTTGGTTACCCAAAAGGCCTCGTACCAATAGAGATATATTCCTTACTTATAAACTCATGATCATTCCCTAAATTAGTCAATGTGGAACTCCCTCCCAACGATCCTCAACATTGACCACCTATGTTCTGTCTATATTATCTTGTTCTATTGCAGCATTGTAAATTTTATGGTCGCTTGCTGATACATCATACTTGAGTATATCCGAGTGAAAGTTGTATGCTGAAATTTAAATTATGTACCGGATACCATGTGTGAGAAAAATAATTTGTACTACTTGAACATCTGTTTACAAGTTTTTTGATAACTCTTAACTTTGCAGTTGATCTGACGGTTAGAAGGCTAAATTAACCTGAAAATTGTATAGAGATCATGGAAACGATATCGATTAGGACAGATTTAGGTTGTAAGGATGTGACCAGGTTCCTTCAATAATAGGCAAATAGGCTTGTTTCTTTTCAAAATTAAAAGGAAGAACAGGAATCAGAAGGAAAGAGCACTTTGTCAAAGGACAGTATCTCATAACTGCTGATCTGTTTGGGGTGGAACAGATTGTTTGATTCCTCCAATGTATTTCAAAGGGATTTTCTAGTCAAGGGGATGACAGAAACAGGTACTTTACGCAATCCATTAGGCTTATAGCCATCAAGTTTAATTATTTTTCAATGGTAATACTAAGCTAATTCAGGTTGCCTGGAATGTCCACTGACATAGTTCCTTGAACTGTGGTTTCCAGTTGTTTGCAGAGCTGGGATATCCGTGGTCCATTTGTCTGGCGACAACGCTCCTTTAGTTTATTCCATACATCCTTTGCACATCCATTGTAAACAAGACTGACTGCAATATGCTTGGCGATGGAATTGATGATCCAAGATGTGACAATATCATTGTTACATCGTCATACTGCAAGAAAAGACTATCTTGGTTTTCATCTGGCTTAGAGCGATCAACCTTTCCTTGCTCCAAGAGATGTAATTAGTTGCACCTTCAAGCAATTTCGTAACGAGAGAAGTCCATCCATGAGGCTGTAAAAAGAGAGAAAGGGGCGGCTATCTAGTGGAATTGGCCGTCGGGCTTGCTTCTATTGGACCTGGGGTTGGTCAAGGTTCAAGCAGATCTTCTTCATTCTATCAACGCCCTCAAAGGCCTTCTTCAATGCCTCCAAACTTCATAAGAAGACTTTGCAGGTAGTCAGAATGGTTGAATGATGCAGTAGGTAAGGGTTGAATTGGGCTTCAATTGCTGATGAATCAAGGGAGGAAGAATTTTCTGCCACTGCGAAAACAGAGAGATGAAGAAAATACAGAGGTCTTTCTTTGGCTAAGAGAAAGAATAGTAGTTTTCAGGGAGAGGAAATAACGTTTGCAGGAGCATATTGTTTTATGGACAGTATCGGTGAACCTTTGTCCACATCTTTCTGTAACTATGACTTTTCTACTCGCTGTCTGCTAATGGGAAGACTTTTTTTCCCTTCTTTTTTGCAAGTTCTTTAGGCTGCGTTATTTCATATGATTTCAATGAAGTAGTTCTTTTTAATTAAAAAAAATATCAAAATGATTATAGATCAAGTAATATTCTCGTTGTTTATCAAATTTGTTGTGGGCCTATTTTCATACAGGCTCACGGGTCCAGCGCCTAAGAAAGATAGGGGAGGCTCATCAGAGCCCAATTTTCCCAAAGAACAAAACACGCACTCCAAGATCCAGAGGGTGAGCCGAGGAGTGTGTCAACTACTGAGAGCGGAGAGACTATGACACAAGAGTCAAAAAGGGAGGTCACTCCCACTCAAGGTACGCAACCACATCACTTTGTTTAAGCATCAAAGAGTGTTAAGTCAAATTTCACACTATTGCAAGATCTTTAATTGTGCAAGACTCCTTGAAAGTTGACCTGTTCCCTAGAAAGCAGAGTTAGTAGCATCAATTCTTGTCTATCGTATTTACTCATCAGCAAAAGTATAAATATAATCACATAAATATCCTGTTTAGCTTTGTGACTGTTATCTCTCCTTATCTTTCTTTTTATAAATACCCTTTTTTCTGTAGTATTTGTAGAAGACTGTGTTTCTCAATTCCTAAAAGAAACCAATAATATGAAATAAAAAGTGGTAATCCCTCACCAAGAAGGCCAATGATTCTTTAGGAAGTTGGTAGGTAAGGATAATTATTAGAGGAGATTCTGTTCAAACTTGAAAAATTCTTGATTCTATCCATCATACTTGAGCAGAAATGCTTGTTTTATTTGCGCTAGAATAAGAAACGGGAAATCAGAAGTTGAAATAAAAACATTTGAACTCTATAGGTATGGGAAAAGAAAAAAGAGAGAGAGAGAGAGGAACCAGAGATAATGACACTTACGAAAATGGGGCTTTGGCAAGGGAGAAGTCGAACTTGATTAACAGTGTTTGAATGATTGAAAAACAAAAGAAAATTAATGGTGGGTCAAGTGAATAGAATCAAAATTTGTTTCATTGTCTCATTTTCCTAAACTTTTTATACAGATGGCTCACTCAATCAGCTGAGGACCAATCCACCAAGTGCATCCCTTCAGGTATTTGATTCTTGTTGTACCAACTTCATTCTCTCCCTTAAATTCTTTCTATCAGTTGAAGTGAAAATAAAGCGAAGGCCAAGATCACAGCTGTGGAGTTGGGTCCTTATTCTTTCATCTGTCTCATCCTTTATTATCATGTGGCTTTTGAAATTAGGAAATGATGATTGAAGAAATGGTGTTTACCTACTTTCAAATGGCTTGTCCCTTTGTTTGTTTTATTGTTTTTTAAAATTTTATTTTGGGCGAAATTATAAAAAATATCTTCTAACCGTCCATAAACGTTTTAAAACTACCTTTAGAGTAGAAATCCGTTAGAATATAGGAGGGAAGGTTGACTTAGTGATGACTTGGATGTGACAGTGACTAAGATACTTATCTGGATTAAGTCAAAAAGAACGATATTTCGTCACATTGACTTTTTGTCCGACAAATTATAATAGATTTTCTACTTCAAATGCAGTTTTGAAACATTTACAAAGGTAAAAAGATAATATTACAACTTTTGAAATGATATCGTTTAAGAGTATTCTTTTTATAATTTAACATTTTTTTTCTTTTATATTCATGAGTTTGAATCAGCATGTGCGTACTTTAACTATTTTCACGAGACAACTACCTAACCTTACTGTATTTAATTCTCAAAATAACTCGTAAGATATTAACTTTTTCTGTAGGTGACCACTCCGAGTTCCACCTATCTAGAAGTAAGCCTTTATTATTGTAGGTGGTGGCTTATAGGTTGTTTCTTTACTATTGAATGTGCCATCTCTTTCAATACAGATTTGCTTGGTGCGCATCTCTTTCATTTCATCACTGAAATGATAAGCGTGGTGGTGGGGTAAATGGCATCATCCTTGTCCACTTTATGAACTCTGCATATTATGATTGGATGCCTTTGCTCATATTTGATAAGGCTTTTGCATATTGAGATTGGGAAAATTGCATTGCAATGACTACAGACAAAGTCCTTTTTCTTGGCCTTAGGTAATGACATTTCTTTTCTTTTTCTTTCTTGTTAGTAGTTAGTTCTTGGTATATTCTGTTGACATGTGAACCACTTGTTGTTGGTTTAGGCTATAAATTCTAAAAGCTTACATTTCCTACTTGTGATCCACTAATTTTTTGGCTCATACTTAGTTCTTAGCACTTTTTCCTTAGAAAGAGAGAGATGAACAAATTTTCACTTTTTTTTTTATGTAAAAAGAAGTTTGGATCTTTTTCAGTTTTGCTTTTGTTTTTTCACCTTCCAATATTTCATCTTTAGCTCTCTTTCTTCTTTACTTCAGAACCATTTGGAATGGTTATGGGCTTTTGTTATAAAATGATGATTTGGAATGGCTGCCAAGTGTTTATGGAAGAATACAAAATCCCATAGAATAGTATAACGATAGGTAACGAGTCAAAGTGAACAATATCTGCTAGTGATAGAATTGAGCTGTTAAAATGGTATCAGAGCCCCCAAAAGGGATGGTGTACCAGCAAGGATGTTAGCTCTCAAGAGGGGTAGATTGAACCATGTCTGATAGACTTGGGCTTTAAAATGATATCAAAGCCCCCACGAGGGATTGAACAATATTTGCAAGTGATAAACTTGGGACGGTTAAAATGGTATCAGAGCCCCACAAGGGATGGTGTACCAATGAGGATGTTGGCCCTCAAGAGGGGTAAATTGAACAATATCTGTTAGTGATAGACTTGGGCTTTAAAATGATTTCAGAGCCCCCACGAGGGATGGTGAACCAATGAGGATGTTGGCCTCCAAGAAGGGTGAATTGTGAGATCTTCAAGAGGGATGGTGTACCACCGAGGATGTTGGCCCCCAGGAAGGGTGAATTGTGAGATCTCACATCGGTTGGAGATGGAAATGTAACATCCATAATAGACGCACTCTAAAATGATGAGACTGGCGTCCATACATAACGGGTCAAAGCGGACAATATCTGCTAGCGGTGTTTGAGTGGTTACAAATTAATTATTATATATATATATATATATATATATAATTATTGTTGAATGAGTTGGAAAATATGTTGTTGAAAGTTAAAACAAAGGGGGGTTGGAAAGCAAGGCATTGTCCATATCTTTATTTATTTTCTGTCTTTGTTGTTGAGACCCATTCTTTGTTCACTTTATAGCTTCACAAATACATATACCCATTTTTCTTTTCATAGGCCATTTCCATTTTCTTTCCCTATTACACTTTATTAAAGATTTGAATCCAACCATGCTCCTCCCAATATCACTTTTAAGGGAGTATTTTGTACATGTCAAATATTCTTTCCAATACCACTTTATACTTAGAAAAATAAAATTAAAAATCCACTTTTTCTCGAGATTTGAATGACTTTCTATTTCGTCTATCAGACACTTTAGGTGACTGAGAGATTTGAATTTAATTTCTATTTGGTCTTAGATGTTCTAAAAGTGACACATTCGAGATTTGAATTTAGTTTCTATTTGGTCTTAGATGTTCTAAAAGTGACACATTCGATCCTTCAGATCTAAATTTTTAGTTCATAAGTTTGAAATTATTTGAATTTAGTTTCTATTTGGTCTTAGATGTTCTAAAAGTGACACATTTGATCCTCGAGATCTAAATTTGATTTCTATTTAGTTCGTAAGTTTGAAATTATTTGAATTTAGTTTCTATTTGGTCTTAGATGTTCTAAAAGTGACACATTCGATCCTTCAGATCTAAATTAATTTCTAATTAGTTCATAAGTTTGAAATTAGTTTCTAATGGATCCCGGGTTAGAAAATATAATAAAAAAGTTAACTCATTGAAAAAAATTATATGTTTGTTAAAAAGAACATTAGACTTTAAAAATATCTAATAATGGTTTTGGGCCTTTTACTAGTTAGTCCCGGTAAAGCCCCCAGACGGCGTATTCCGCGAAAGCTTCTTCTCCAGATTCCACAATCAAGGGTTCGGATCATTAGGCTTTGCCCAACCCCCCTCAGGGATCGCGGAGTCAGGTAGATCAACAACTTGTACTCCGGTTAAGTCTCATTAATCTTTCATTTGAGTAGTTAAGGAGCCCTTCCACACGGAACTCCCGGATCACTATGGCCGAGTGCTTTACGGGAAGGCAGGTCCCGCCCGCGGTGATAGAACGAAGGTATGGCCTATCAGTTCACATACGCTACTTCGGATTTCTGGGATAGTTATTTAAGGTCAATCTATTGATGTGTGATCATCGGTGACCGGACCCTCCTTTACGGTTAGGCTGGTGACTAAAATGTTCTATTTGTTTTCTATAGTAAGGAATCAATCATAGGAAGTGTCATAAGCATGGAAAGCTGCTAGAAAGTGAAAAGGGAATAGCAGAAAAGAGGAAGGGTTTCGGTTCAGGCTCAGTAGCGGGAAGACCAACTCTCATTCAAGGAAGCGGACCGTTGACGACAGCAGGCAGCGCCTCGGAAAGCACGTACGAGCGTCTTGCATCTTGAGCTTTTTGACCTTTTACTGTGAATAGTTACAGGAGAGTAAGTATAAGTACAATGAATTAGATTAGCTGCTGCGGCTTTACCGAGTGAAAGAAGGAAAAGGGTGTCGGTTCAGTCTTTCCTTTCAAGTTTACTGTTTAATCAGGTTCAGTAGTTCAGGAAAGAAGAGATTCGAGACCGTAAAATAGCTTGACCCCCTTTACAGTCTTTGAATAAATAGGCAGTTCCTAGGAAAGATTATGGTTCTCGGGTATCCAATCAATTAATCCCCATGAA